TGATAAAAAATGCTAGAATATTCTAATTGAAAAAAATATTTAATAGTAGAAAATTTAATCTAAATTTATTAGATGATAAAATAGAAAAACTGAAATTGCCTTCCATCTATACTAAAATATTTTTTCAAAGTTTTCAAACAGTATATACTAATCTGCATTTTATTATACCTCAGAATTTTAAAATATATCCTTTATTATATAATAAAACTATGTTTATATAGATCAAATTTTTTCTTGTAAATCAAATATTACAAAAAGTTAAGTAAATGAATAATTGTATCCTAATTTAACAAATGCTTTTATTTTGAAAAATTTATAAAAGAAATATAGTAGCGGTCATAAGTATCTAATCATTAAAGATCATCTAAAATTATTATATAACTACCCCTTAAATTTTCTAGAAATATAATGTAATACAATACATAATCACCTGTAAATTTATAAGTATCAATGATATAAAAAAAAATTTAGATGATCATTAAACTTTCACTTAAAAAATGGAACTTTCTTTAGAAAAACAATATAAAATTGTTTTTTTATGTGAATACCCAGCTGGTTCAAAGTTTAGTTTTGGATTTATTGCTAAACAGGTATATTTTAGTAAGTTTACAGCTATTTATTAGATTAAAAGATATCATGAAAATCAGGACCTAAGTACTTCAGAAAGACCAGAATGGCCTTGTATAACATTTGCGAAATAAGATGACAAAATTGTAAAGATGGCAGAGAAAGAATATAATATAATAGCCATTCAAATACAAGAAAAAATAGAAGAAAGAGGTGTTAGGCTTAGTGTAGAAATAGTAAGGCGATGTCTTTATAAGTCTGGAGGAAAGTTTAGTAATGAAAATTTTAAACCTTTACTTAAAGAAGACCATTGAAAAAAAAGGTTTCAATAGGCAAAAAAATATAAAAATTTTGATTAGAATCAAGTTGTTTTTACAGATGAGAGTATATTTCAATTATATACATCAAAAAAAAGGTTTAGCAGTTTCCTGGTAGAAAAAAAGTGTTTCGTTCTATTAAGCATCTACCAAAAGTTCATGTTTAGAGATGTTTTTCTGATTTTGGATTTAGTAAGCTATTTTACTTTCAGAAGAACCTTAATGCTGAATTTATGTGTACTATTTATGAGCAGGGTCTTCTGGCTTCCATCTCTAAACTTTTTGGTAAAAGTAATATAAATTGGATCTTGCAAGAAGATAATAATCCAAAGCATCAATCGAAAATCACAAAAAAATGGAAGGAAGAAAATGGCATTGAGGTACTTTCTTGGTCATCAATGTCTCTAGACCAAAACTTTATAGAAAATGTTAGAAGTTAATGAAAATTAATATACAAAAAAAAAATTTGATTAATTAAAGAGTTAAAGGAGGAACTTACAAAGAATAGAACTGATTATTACCTATACTTGTTACGAATTTGGTAGCTAGCATGAAAAGGTGTACAGCTGCACTTATAGAGTTAGATGGTAACTATATAATGTATTAATTTTAGTTAGTTAGTTATGTATTTTTTAAATAAAAAAAAATTTTTGAATTTACTTACTTGTAGCCGGAGTTAGAGACGGTCAGATACTTATGACTGCTACTGTAGAAAATTTTATAGTTTGATCTGTGTATATCAAAAAATTATCTAAATATTATTACTGTATATCTATATAAATGTATTATATTTTTGAATTTTTTAAACTAAAATAGATTATATAAAGCAAAAAGATTACTCTAAAAATAATAATTAGACTATTAATAGCTAAGTATAATAATTTAGTAGATAAAACTACTAAGATTTATATAATAACATAAAATCTTAAAGAAAAGTAATATTACATGAAAGAAAATTTCAATGATAATAATCTAAAAAATGACAATAATCACTAGAAAATTATTTATATCTTATATATCTTTTATATCTTCTATATTATTTATTTCTTTTATTCAATATATTATTTTTATTTATTTTATTTTATTTATATTATTTATTTATTATATTACTTTATTTCATTTATTATATTTATTTTATTTATTATTTTAATAACTCTATATATTATTACAAAGTAATTAACTAATAATAATAAAGTTATATAAATGATGATTTTTAATTCAAAAAATTTTGAAAATACTAAAAATTTTACAAATTTTAAAAATTTAGAGGATCTATATAATTCTGCAAATATTAAATCCCAATTCTATGAATTAAATAAAATTTAGAAATATTTAATATAATATTTATTCTTAATATTTTACTTTTGTTATTATTTTTATTATATTATATTTTTTATTATTATATATATTTTTAGTATATTTATTTTACTTATATTTTATTTTAATTTATAGTATAATAAATAGTTAACTATAATAAAAGGAATTTTGTATAAATAGATAAACTTTTTTACTCATATTGAAAATTAATTTTTTTACAAATATAAGTTTTAATATTAATAAAGAAATCAATTAAAACTTATATCTTTCTGTCTTTTTATATCTTTATATAGTTTGATTTAATCTTTATATAATATTTATAATTGAATTCATTATCTAAATTCTTTAATTAAATTTATTCACATTATTGTCTTTTAAGTCTTTATACTTAATAGATTTGTTAAAGTTAATATGTAGAATTAGCAAAGTTAAGAGTTAAATAGATTTTAATATCTTAACTGTAATAAATCACAGTTAATAACTTTGAGTAGAAACTTAAAGATGTAATTAACCCATATTGAAAAATTTTACAGTAACAATGTTTAATTTTATATAAATATAAGAAAAATCTTTTAACTTAGCAGTATAGTCAACTCTTATTATAATGAACTCTATATCCTAGACCTTAACTTCACTATAAGGCTATAGTGAAGATTTTAAGAGATTTGATTGACCAATTTGCTATAACAAGAGTATTTTTATTATATTTGTTCAAAAAATTCGTTATATCAAAAATTCGCTATATCAAGAGTTGACTGTATATCTTAGAAATAATTATATTTAAATAGTTTACTTTAATTTCTTATTATACTTGTATAATATAAAGTGTTGATTAAAATAGTATTTATTTTATAATTGATATTAAATAAACCATTTACTGATTAACATTTTTTAAATCAATTATAAAATTAAACTTTTGCTTATTATTTGAAATTATTGTATTACTTATTACTTATAAGTATTTTAAAGAACTGACCATAATATTATTTTTAATTGATATTTTTAAAATTAAATTTTGATAATTCATAATTATACTATAGTAGAGGTTAGAATCAGTTAATTTTTAACCGGTTAATTAACTGGTTAAAATAGATGAATTTAAATCCAGCCAAAATTTAATTTCTGGCCAGAATTAAAATTTTTATGATTAACAAAATATTGTCTAACTCTGGCCAAATTTATAATACTGGTCAAAGTTAATTTTAACCAGTTAATTAACCAGTTAATAAATATTTTAACTGGTTATTAACTAGTTAAAGAATTTTCAGCCAGTTCTAACCTCTATACTATAGTAATTAAATTAAAAATAATCTACCTAAATATTATATTTAGTTTATAATCTAAATAAATATAAATATTTATTATTAATAAAAGAAATCATATAATTATTTAATATTATATAAGATCTATAGTTATTTTAAGTTAAATAACTTTATAATTATATCAAATAATAACTAGTAATAATTTTATTTTATTTAATTATTTTAATTTTATAAATTATATATAATCAATCTTTTTATAGTTATATTCTATATAATCATATCCTTTTTTTAAATATATTATATTTTAATTCTAATTTTTTAATATAATATAATTCTTTATAATCACTTATAAATTATAATTATCATCATATCAATTATTAGACTAATATATTATTTAATATAAGTAATTTTACTTTATATAGTCATATTATTATAATAAATCAATTAATAATATTTAATTTTTATAATAAATCATGTAAATTATTTTATATTAAAGTAAATTTTATTAAAAAATTTAAATTTTTACATAAAATTAAAATAATCAATAGTTTTATTTAATTTAATTTAAGATCTTAGTTTTATAACTAAAAAAATATTAAAAATTTAAAAATAATAAAGGAACAAAAAAGAAATAAATGAAAAAAATAAAATAATTATCTAAAATTTAAAACTATAAAAGTATAATAAATTAAGTTAATCAGAAATCTATTATATAATTATAAGCATATTTCTATATAATTACTAAAGATAATATTAAAACTGATGATAAATAAGTATTACAAGTTGTAATTCATTGTAATATTAATAAAAATTTAGTTATAACTAGTTACAACTAATAACAAATAAGCATTATATAGTTGTAACTAATTATAACACTATCTTTAATAATATATCATTAGATAATCCTAAAAGATATAATTATAAAAGCTAACTGTATCTGTTTTTCTATTTATTTATAATATCTGTAATTTTTAATTTATTTAATTTCTTTAATTCTTTATAAACTTTTTATAATTATTTATATTATTTTTATTATAATATATTGGAAGTTTTTTTAAAAATAGGATTCTAAAAATTTTAATTAAAATTAAAACTTTATTACATTTAAATCTAATAACATTAAAAACTAAATGTAATAAAAACAAATTTTTGTTAAAAAATTTCCAGAATCCCATTTCTTAGCAAATCTTCTATATATCTTTATTTAATTAATTTATAATATAACAAATAATTAATTATAGTAAAAAAATTTGTATAAATAAAATAAACTTTTGTTTATGTTATAAGTTTTTAAGTAATAAATAAGAAAGTCATATATATATTTATATATTTATATTTTTCAGTATCATCTCTAATCTAGGATTTGATTGTAATATATTACATCAAATAATTTTTAAATTTATTATTAAATTTAATTAATAAATCAAATTTTAAGATATATAAATTGCGGAATTGATTTTAGAATTTATGATGGATCGACAAAATCACCCGATCACACTACTTTTAAATGATACCTAAATCTGATTTTACTGGTAAAATGTCACAATCAAAGAATCGTAAGAATTTATCGACGGTAATTATAGAAATTTTATTTTAACCTTTCTGTTAAATTATTTTTATTAATAATTATGTCGAATTATATTCATAGGCAAAAGAACAACAAAAACAAAAAATTACAAGTTCAGAAACTGAAACTTCTGATTGTGAATTAGGATCAAAAAATGTTCAAGAAAAAAAGAAAAAAAATTTAGATATTTTGAAAAGGGGTAGAAAATTCGTTGATAAGGATACTATGATGAATTTAATTGATCAATTAAATGATGATGAAGATGAGCGCATTGAAAAAAAATTACAGCGTCAAGTAATGTTCTTTTTTTATTAAAAATAAAATAAAATAAATAAAAAGATGACGTGTTAATAACATATCTTTATATTTATATTTATATAGAATAACCTTGAGCAAATAATAGAAGATCGTCAAATTAAAAAACAACGAAATCAATCAATTCGTAAAGAAAAACTTGAAAAAGTTAAACAATCAATCAAGAAAAAGAAACAATTAAAAAGAAAGAAAAATAAGATAGGTTCAAAATCTAGTTGAGACATTTATGATTGTTCTTTGTGGATATATATCATTCATTCGGCATTAATTCCTCTTGATCAAGATCATCAGCACATTCAAGTGCATACCTAAAAAAAAAAAAAAGGTAAAGCGTGAAAGACTAGGATAGTCCAAGTCAATGAAACATTCAAAGTAAAATAAATTACATTTTAACTTCATATAATTGTTTGGGCATTCCATGTTGCGTTGCTTCTTTTATTAATTTTAATCCAGATTTTTGAAAAATATCTTTAAAAATTTCATCCGATCTATTGTTAATGAAATTTTAATGAGTAGACAGTTAAAAAAAATGAACCAGAAGAAATTAATGAAATACCTAGTGACACTACTATCAGTTTCATCAAATTGATAGCCGAATACACAAACATTTTCTTTAACACCAATTAATCCATTAGGTTTCAAACCTATTTTACACCTCTTAAAAAATTCAATCAAATCATCGTCTTTTAAATGTCCAATCACCCATTGACACCATATTAAATCATATTTTCTTTCTTCTGGTATAAATTCTTGTAATCCTTTACAAATAAATTCACCAATTTTACCTTCCTCTTTCTCCTTTTTAAGAAATTCTTTCTCGGCCCGTTCAATAAATTTTGGTGTATATTCTACTAAATCAACTTTTTTAAATAATCTCGATAAAAAATTTTTTGTTACTCTTCCTATACCAGCTCCACAGTCACATGCATATTCTTCAGTTATTCTTGGTAATGTTAATTTTCTATTACGTGCTCCTTTTTTACCATATATATATTCACTAATAAATAACCGCGAACCTTCTGTATCTATTTTATCTACTTTACCATACCCTCCCAACACTCCATTTATTGTTGCTGGTTTGTTTGACCAATAGTCTAGGATGAAGAATAATGTTAAAAAATAAATTTATTTCGAATAACTGAAAGTTAATAATTTTACCAAGTGCATCAGTGTACCAGGTTTCTTTTTGAAACTCTAAAGTTTCAATATCTTGTGACTAAGAAAAAGTAAAAAGAGGATAAATATTTATAATTTTAAATAAAAATAGAATAAAATAATAAATTAAAACAAAATCTTACGGTTCCTTCGATCATTTTCAACGTTACAAGTGGGTAATAATAATAAGATCAAGATTGAGTTTTATTGGTAGATAAATAAAAAACCAAATAGACTGTAAAGTCTAAATTTGGTAATCATCGATACACGAGTTAAAATGGAAACTATGCAATAGAAAAGGCATGGAAAAAATAAAATTTGAGTTAATGCTATCCTGAACATATTTCGATCTAAAAATCATATTGCCATATAAAAGTAAAATTGATTTTTTTCCGGCTGTTTCCTTCCTTTCTATTGCAAAGGTCTATAATAAATTAATAAATCTATAATTGATTTCTTTGATTATACATGATTGAAGTAGAATTAATTCCTAAATTATTTTTTATTAAATAATTCATCTAATAAAAATTTTGTTTAAAATTAAATCATGATTTATAATAATATTTTAACTATTATCAAATTTTTATAATTTATAAATAAAATGTAAATAAAGTATTTAAAATAGTTATTTTTATAATTTTTTAATAAGATTTTATACTTATTATTAAACCTAAAAGAAATATAAGTAAATAAAAATAATTTTATAATATTATAATGTTTATTTAATAATTATATAAATATTATAACACTTATTTATTACCATTTTTTAAGTAAAATAATATAAAACTTTAATAAAATTTTTTTTAAATTTTTTTAAAAAATTTACAAAGTAAATATAATAAATTTTGTAATTTAAATAGTATAAACTAAAATAAAGTTATAAAGCAAAATCTAAATCTAATTGGTAAGTTAAAATCTTTCAATTTTAATAGATTTTTATAAATCTTGATAAATCTTTACATAGACAATTGTTATTCTGATTAAATTTAATATTATTTTACTCATAAGATCAATTTATCATTCAGATAGGCTGAATATTTTCTAGTATATATTTGCTAATATAAATCTGTAAGTTCTTCAAATATGTAGTATTAATTTTAATAAAAAAAAACATATAATGTTGAATTATAGGATACTGAATTTTATTCAAAAAATTATAATCATATAATATCAATTTATCATATTTTAAGTTAATTTATACTGATTAACTATCAAATTTTAGCTGATAAAATGCAAAAGAATATTTTACTATTAATTTAATTAATAGAATTACTTTTTATAAAAATAAATTAAATGTTTTTAATATTAATTTGATTGTTAATCCTATAATATCAGTTGTATTTTCTTTCAAATTTTATTTTATTTAATATATTTTAGCTGATTTTCAATATATGTCAATCAAATATAAATTAGACATTAGCTATAAATAAAATAAGTCAAATTTTAGTTTATTTTTAATAAAGTATATCAATTAGCTATAAGTATGTAAATTGGCTATAAATAAGATAGATCAATTTTGATTAATTCTTAGCTAATTTTTATATATGGTAATCAGCTAAGCAAATTTTTGATAATTTGCTAATTTTAGATTAAATTTAGTCTGATTTTATTTTTTTATATAAATTTTACAAAAATTTTTAAAAATTATTATAATAAATTTTTTAAACTTAATTTTAAAATTGAATTATTTAAAAAACTTTTTAATAAACTTAAAATTTCTTTTAATAAATTTGATAAAATATATATTAAATATATATTTTATATAATTATTATATTACAAAATTAATATTTAATATTTTAATAAGAAATATACTTTTTTTTTAAATATATAGGTAAATTTATCTATTAGACAATTTAGAAATAATATTTTTTATAATTATTCAAAAAGAAAAAATTTAAATATTTAAAATTATAATACTTAATAAACTTATTAGATAATTTTTATAGAATTTTATAATTCTTATACTAACTTAAAGAAATATATATTTTAAATTAAAAAAAAAATAATAAAAAAATTAAAAATAAGTTAATTAATTATAAAAAAAGTTTTAAGATTTTAATAAATTTATATTAAAAAATTTAAATTATTATAATTAATATAATTTAATATATAGTAGACAGTTAGAAAGAGTAAAATTTACTTTTTAATCAAAAATTTTTTTATTAATTCACTTTGCCAATTATGGTTATATAAATAAAACTAGTTTAATAATTAAAATTACTTAAAATTTGTAGATTTTTCTCTTTTTTATTGATCGCCTCTTATATTATTAATATAAAATTTAATATTAATATAATTTTTAAAAGTTTTTAATATTTATTATTTAAATTTTATATTATAAGATATTTAATTATAAATTTTGTAATAAAAAATTATAAAAATTACAATTAATCTTAAAAATAAAATTAAAAAAAAATATTCAAAAATATATACTAAGACCAGATAAATTACTTTAACTAAATGTATTATTTTAGTTTTATTTATTTTATTGAAATAAGTAAATTATTTAAATTATTTAAAGTAGATTTATAAAAAATATTATGATAAAATAATAAATAAAATAATTAAATAAATTATAAATAATAAAGATTTCTTGATATAGCGAATTTTAATATAATGAATTATATGATACTTGATCAATTAAATATGCTAATTTTCTCTCTTTATAATGAAATAATTAATTAAATTTTTCAAATTATTTGCTAACTTATTATAATAAATTTGAGATATAGAATAGTTATCTTACTATATTAAGAGCAGATTATATTATTTTTAAAATATATAAATGCAAACAATCATTATTTTTTAATATATAGTTTATACTTATTATATAGTTTTATAAATTTATACACAATTTTTCAAGTATATGTTACTTTATACAGAAAAATTTTATATTACTATATATTCTATACAGTTCTACATATTTTACATAATTTCATAAAAATTACATATAATATAAAGTTATTCCTATAAAAATATTTTATAATATGAACTAATAAATATAATTAATTAATTAAAAAATTTATTTAACAAAATTTTAAATTTTTTCAACTCAAAAAACTCAAAAAGGCAAATTAAATATTCTGAATTTTATAGTAAAGCTTTAACTAGTGAAAAATTAGATTTAACAATACTATTTAGAGTAAAATATTACAAAATTTAAAATAGTTTTAATCTAAAATAGATGAATAATAGAAATAGTAGTTAGTTAGAATATAGAAATATAAATAAAGTAATATTAATATTTTATAGATAGTAAAAAGCAAAGAATATACAATAAACTTGTAAAAAATAAGTTTTATCAAAAATAAAATATTAATTAATATTTTGATCATTATAAATATAAATTAAAGCAAAAGCAAAAAAATCCAATTAAAGTAATTTAATAATTATATTTTTACATTAATTAAATGCAAATAAAATTAGTTATAATATAAATACAATATATTTACTTTGTGATTTAAAATATATAGCACTTTTAATTTATTCTAATCTATATTAATTAGTAGATTTTCATTAGAAAAAAATCTGAAATTATAAACCTTTATAATATCTTTGAATATTATAATTACCATTACCTTTTTCAAAAAATTTACATCAGAATTAAGTAAATATAATTCATATTTATTAAATACAACAGCAAAAGATTTTGAGTATACTTTAACATAAATTAATGAATTACTAATTAAATTATATCTGGCAGATAAATTATATTTTAACAGATATAATTATTTTATTAATAATTTATAATAAATATCAAATTAAATGTAATTAATTTTAACATCATTAAAACTAATTAATGTTAAAGTATTATTTTAAGAAAGTAATTATTTATATAATTTATAAAAAAATAAAAAGTTCAAATAATTGAAAAATTATGATTAATGATATTAATTTAATTATAGATAAAAATATTTAGTTATTATTTTATATGCTAATTACAGTGACTACCAAAAGAAACGCAAGTGTGATTAGTTATCTTTGAACGGCTATAACTCATCAACCACAAATGCTAGAAACATGATCTTGTACTTGTTTTAAAGCTCAAATATTGAAGGATATC